TTCGAGAAGCAGACCAGAAGCAAACGGAGCCGAAATGGACGCGGTTTCATCATCTTCAGGAGATTCCTTCCTTCGAAATGGACATCTGGCAAGTCACCGTTAGTTGGAAGTCGCTACAATCGCCCTCCAAGTTGCCCCAGCTTAAGGATAAGCACGGAAAACTAAAGCTTCTATAAATATAAATACCCGAATACATCGAAACTCATTGCCCTTTTCCGCCCCAAAATTTGAAAATTCCACTATTTTCGTGATTTGTAAAATTGTAATAAGCTCGATTCTTTTATATTACATATATAACATACATGGATTTATCGAAGGATTAATTCAATTTGTCATTTTACTTGTCGTGCGCAATTAGTCACACCAATTCTTTAGACTCATATGCTTTATTGACATCTTACATATGCAAATTCGTACTCTGATTATTCTCTTTCTAGCAATGAATTTCTCAAAAAGAAGAGCGATTTCCTAGATCATCAACTTCGAATGCTATTTTAAAACCATGATTCCTATTGTTCAATTATTCACCATAGTGCTTACGAACAACGTCTACACGGAAAAATTTCTGTGTGATTATTTTTCCTTTTAACTTGCTACTTATATTTTGCATCCTTACGATTCGGCTTTTATTTATTATAAAAATGTAAAATTTTTAAATTTCATAAATACTAAATATAAGGCTCCGTTTATTTCACAAAAAATTTGACATTTCTGAAAAATATATTTTAGGAAAATGACTATTCTCCGATGCTTGGCTAAAATCTGAAAAACAAATTGGAAATTATTGTTGGTAGCTTGGAAAGAAAAATATGCTTTAATTTTCCTAAATAATCATGCACTATTCAGACACTAGTGGATAGGGCATGGACTGCCGAGGAACCGGGCATGAGCACCGGAGTCTCGAGCATGGTCTCTATGAAACTAGGCTTGGCCTAAATGGACTAGGACCTAGGTGTTGCAAGGGCCTCGGGGTTCGAGCATCGGTCCCAAGAGTGTGGGACCCTGGTGCTTGTGTCGTGGTCCATCGAGGCCTGGCCTAGGTACACAGAAGCCGAGTCCAGGACCCCAGCACCCGTGCCTAGGACCCCGACACTCGATCCTCTATTGATGGAGGCCCCTCCCCTCGTCCGCAAAGGCTGAGCTCGAGACCCTGGTTTCCACGCCCAACCCTGAATCTATCCATGCGAGGCCAAGTCCATAGAGGTTGGACCTAAAAATCCCAGTGCCCGAATTCCCAGTGCCATTCAGGCAGGGCCTAGGTCAATGGAGGCCGAGCATGGGCATCGAGGTCTCGAGTTCGGCCTCTTTGGACCCGACCTCGACCTTTAGACTCGAGCTCGCTACCAAGGACCTGAGAATGTTGGGATTCCTTTGCTTAAGCACAAATTCTCCGGTTTGAGTGCCAATGTCTAGTCATATTTTGATAAAAGAATTTTGATTTTCGAAGGGGAAATCATTTTTCTAAATTTAAACATAAGCATTTTATTGGCTAGGTTAAGATTTTCCGTTAACTCATTTTCCTAAACGATCTAAACGATAAAAAATGAAGAAAATGTTTTTCCATAAAACAAAATTCACGAAACAAACGGAACCTAAGAGTTAATGAAATGATGTGCCTCCTTTCTTTTCTTTCTTTGTTTTAGAAAACTTAAATTAAATTCTTCCTTGTTAAAACTAGGGCTACCACTACGACAAATTTCAAACTGATACATCTATGCTATATTTATTTCAAACTAATTTTTCATGTCACAAAAAATTCTAAATTAGTACACCGGTGCCACATTTACCCCAAATTAATTTTTGTATTACAGAAAATCTCAAATTGGTACAACAATGCTATAATCACCCCAAAACTTACTTTTATGTTACAAAAATCCCAATCACCGAAATCTTAGATTAGGAAATTTGTGAATCTCCTAATTTTTCCCTAATACATCAAGTTTTGAAAATTTGCTAAAATCTTGAATTTTTTGTGATACAAAAATTTATTTGGGGTAAATATGGCATGAATGTACTAGTTTAGGATTTTTTATGATACATTAATTAGTTTGGGATAAATATGATTTGGGTGTACCAGTTTGGGATTAATTGTGACACGACAACTTGGAGTAAATATGACATGGACATATAAGTTTAGGATTTTTGGTGATATTAACTTTAAAACTAAAAGGGTGTTTGTTCTTATCTTGAGAAAACACTTGGCTCTCGTTCTTATTTTAGTTAATGTGATTTAATTGATTATTGGTTTTTGAGATGTGACCCCGAACACCAGGTAGCTCGAATCCTACTGCTCCATCTCTGTTGCAACTCCTATCATCCGTGGAAAAACATGGCATATTCAAGTTTTATTTATTTCGTAAAAAATAAATAATTTAAAAAATATTTTATATATAATTGCTTGTATGGCTTGAATTAATTAACCAATGAATAATATTTTTGTTATCGATAACTATATGATAAGCAATTTCATGAATGATGAAGACTTTTTTCGTTCATTCATTTTTGTAAGTGAATCAAACGATCATTTTTTTAAATATATTTTTCAAATCTTTTTTTTTTTTCGAGAAACAAATACACCAGCAGTGTATATATACCACTAACATTACAACCATTGAGTGTGTAGGCCCACAGCGAGACTTACATTATCAATAGATATAATAATAACAATCTAAGTAAATTAAATATATGTAATAATTTATCTGTCTTCTCTTTTCTCTTCTTGTCTCACGATTTTCCACTATGATTCTAGCACGTGTAGAAGAGAATATTATATTACCATCAGCGAAAAATGAACAACTTATCTTAAAAATGATGTCGGAGCAAGATGACTAAGATCAACTGCCCGAGTACACGGCAGTGCACCTACACATCGTTGCAAATGGGACTAGATCTAAAAACTGTTTCTCAGTACGCAACCAGAACCATAAACCATAGCTCCCACCAACACCAAAGGTAAAAATACTCTCGTGGTGCCAATTTTTACCGTGAGACTTTGCTGAAGACCAAATGCTCGACTTCGCTGTCCACTCGTTCCTCGTCAGAATCATAAACGACTGCCATCCGGCGAGACCTTCCGTGGCAGAGATTCCTCATCTGACTCGATCTCTTTGCGCTTGTAATTGGAGCTGTAATATTTCCCTTCTTACTTTGCTGCCGAATCAGAATGAGGCATCATAAGCACAAAATAAGATTTCAGAGTAGAGATAAGTTAAACTAGCAAGGATTTCAAAAAAGTGTCTCCAATTTCAACGGCATAATGAGCTCTTTATCTCCAACAACCACTCCTGATGGAGGAATATACGAGAGAGGTTGTGCATAATGGACAATCAAACTTCATGATCTTAGTACTGCCGTGCCGGAGTGGCATCCGCTCCCACAGTGTATAGATGCGTGCAAGCACACATGTGGTATACCCTTTACAGATACCAAAATTATGCACACTACGGCACACCGGGAGAAAAATGCTTTTATCAGAAAGGATGCACCCGATCTGCACCCGAATTGGTCTGGCAAATCTTGAGTTTGGGGATAAGTCCAGTACATAAACAGGCAAACATATTACTAGAATCATCACTTCTGCAAGAAACCATCTGTAGAATCTCAATTAAGCAGGGTATGCACATCCAATCTTCATACCTTAATGTGTCGCGCACAATGTGCTCAATTTTTTTCTTTTTTTGGCTGAACCACTGTTGCAGCTATCATCGGATATGCCAGTGCAGCACATTCTTATAGCGCAGAGCAAAAGGAATGGGGAACTCCCTGAAGCACTTGGCGAATAAAATTTCAATAAAACAAACCTCAACCATGCCAAAAACCAGAAGTAGAGAAGACCACGTACCTCCACCCTTTCCTCCTCCTCAGATGCTTCTCCATTAACTTCAGCTTACTCTTCCTCATGTTCAGCTTCTTCTTCCCTGTCCTCCTCGAATTCTTGTTCATGAACTTCAGCCCTCCTGCAAGGGGGACACCTCTCATCCTCCTCCCCGTGACTTTCATATTCAGACTGTTCTCTGAGAACTCCATTGGGCGCCTTGACGATATAGCAGCAGGTGCAGAAGAAGACTTGTGAGGGACTTCTTTTTGTCATGTGGACAATCATATAGGGTACACAAGTAAATCCAGATGCAGAAAATCACGAGACCCCCATGAAGATGACAAACCTTCTTAGCACTCATTATGCGTCTCTCCCTGCCAGAGCTTCCATTCCCCGGACATCGTTAAAGCGCCGGTGGGATCGACCGGGGTCGTAATAATCTGTCTCTTCATCCTGATCAAGCAAATATTTGAGTCTCCTAGAAAATCAGATTCAAATGGATCAAAGCCGAACACATAGTTCGAACTAAGGCCCTAAACATAGTTCACCGGAACGGGCACAGCGGAGCTGGTCTCTGGGTGTGACCCAACTTGGGTCTCAGTATCCAACCAGGGGCCATTATTGGGACAAATTTTGGCCCGTTTATTTTACGAAAAATAAATAATTTAAATTTTTTTTTTAATATGATTTCTTATATCATTCGACATAATTAGCCAACTGCATTTCCATATCGATAAAAATTTATATATAAATATTTTTATGTTCAACAACAAAAACATTTTTTGCATGTTCGTTTTTGGAAGTGATATAAACATATGATTTAAGTTTTTTAATGGACAATTACATATGATTGAAATTTAAAACGATTTTTCATTTTAAAAAAAATTTAAAGTTGCTCCAAACAAGTTAAAAATATAATTATTTATGGAGCAACGGAAGAAATTCTTATCCCGGCTTCGCTCATAAATAATAGCAGTCGTAGTTATGCCAAGTCATTTAAATAAAAATAAACGAATTTCCTCTCAGAAATACTTGAAAACAATCTAAAGATAAAAAGAATGACTTACAATAGTACATTAAAAATTAATGATCTACTCTCTTTCTAGCATTTCATAAATAAATAAAGAAAACAAGTTTCAAAAACATGATTAATACTTCCTAGACTTATTAACAAAATCCAAAATAAAAAGACCAAACATTATTTAAAACCATATCGGTCCTTGCACAAAACACTGCGGACTTTACACAATTGGAGATGGAAAATCTCCAAGTTCTTACATACTTATTGATTTCCAAACATTGCAATCAGTGACCGCCCAAACAGATTTACAAGTTCTAGAAAATCAAGAAAAGGGGTCATCACGATAAGGCAAAACGCATATTTCAGAACCACCAAGATTAAAGCGTTGCCGGAGAATCTAAAGCTCTCTCAAGACTTTAGAAGCCTTCACTCATACATCTCATCATCTTCTTCAATTTCTTCGATCTTCATCTTCTTCACCGCCTGCGCAGCATCACTTCTCGGCCCGTTTGGAATTTCGATCAGCAAGTCCGACTTCTGCCCGGTGGTGGCATTCACGAATCCTCCATTCTTCTCCACACGGTACGCGAGATCTTGCCCATTGGGCCCCGCGTCGATGTAGACGTTCGAGTTCTCGTCTATCTCCTCCCTCACGAGCATCCTCGAGAGCTCGGTCACCACCTTCTTCTCAAGCCACCTCCTGATTGGCCGAGCACCGTAAACCTGTGATGGAATGACACAAAGTCAGCAATGTGATTCCCGACAGACCCACAAAGTAGAGAGCCGGACAACTACATACTGAAAACCTACCGGATCATAACTCTCTGCTAGAACTAAGTCCAAAGCCGCATCGGTGACAGCCAAAGCAATGCCTCTTTCAGCCAACCTACTCGCAACATCCTTCATCTGTAGTCTAGCCACCTTCCTCAGTTGTTCATGGGAGAGAGGATCAAACACTACAATCTCATCAAGCCGATTCAGCAACTCTGGCCTAAAGTGCCTCCTCACCTGTTCCATTGAAAAGATATTTCAGGTTTCCTATTATGACCCGAGGAAGAATTAGATTGCTGGACAGATTAATAAAGTGAAAATTGATGCCTTACCTCCTGCATGACTCGATCACGGGCAACTTGCATCGAGCATTTGCCCATCAGGCCTGATAGAAGGTGCTCTGCTCCAAGGTTCGAGGTCATGATGATTACAGTATTCCTAAAGTCAACCGTTCGGCCTTGGCCATCAGTTAATCTGCCATCATCAAGAACCTGGAGGAGTGTATTGAAAACAGCTATGTGCGCTTTCTCCACTTCATCGAATAACACAACACTGTAAGGTCGTCTCCTCACTGCCTCGGTTAGTTGTCCACCTTCTTCGTGTCCAACATAGCTATAAATTACAACAGAGAAGACAAGGATCAGATTCTGCCACAAACATTTGCAGCGAGCATGTTATACAAAGCGGAATCATAAATCAACATACTAACCCAGGAGGTGCACCAATTAATCTGGACACAGAATGCTGCTCCATGTACTCCGACATATCAATTCGGATTAGAAGATTTTCGTCATCAAAGAGCTGCTCGGCAAGGGCCTTGGCAAGCTCGGTCTTGCCAACACCGGTTGGACCCAAGAATAAGAATGACCCGGTTGGTTGTTGTGGCCTCCCTAACCCAGCTCTCGACCTCAATACAGCCTCTGCAACAGCGCTGACTGCTTGATCTTGCCCCACAACTCTCTGATGCAGCCTTTCAGCCAGTCCAACTAACCTCTCTTTCTCGTTCTGGCCGAGCCTCGTGACAGGAATGCCAGTCCAGCGGCTCACAACCTCGGCAATATGTTCTGGTCCAACAGTCTCGGTCAACATTAAGTTCTCCTCCGTATTTCCTTCCAGCTGTGCAATGGCTGCTTCCACTTCTTGAATTGCACCATATCGCAAGTCTGCAGCTCTTGCCAGATCATACCTTCTTTCAGCCTCTTGCAATGCGATCAAGAGCTCTTCCCGTTTCTGCTTAAGTCGCCGGATTTCATCAATCCTTTCTTTTTCTTTTCTATACTTCATCAGCAGTGGCTGAAGCTTGTCCCTCAAGTCATCCAACTCTTTACGAACCTACAAGTAAATGAAATGTCAGAACAAATATCAAAATACAGATTTCAATAAGCAGAATAAGCATAAGAAACTTTCTCTGCGGATTCTTCACACTTACCTCAATAAGGCGAGCTTTACTGGCTTTATCCTTCTCTTTTTCTAATGCATGAAGTTCAATTTCTAGTTGCATTCTTTTCCTCTCCAGATTATCGATCTCTTCTGGCTGGCTGTCTAGTTGAACCCTCACATTTGCACAAGCTTCATCAACTAAATCAATTGCTTTGTCGGGCAAATGACGACCTGCATGGTAATAAACCAAAATAGTCAGTTACCTTCACGATAGATAGAGAACTTTCAAAACTGCTAAATCGACTTAGGTGCAAAAATTACCAGTTATGTATCTACTAGACAGCTGTGCAGCAACAATGAGAGCCCGATCTTGAATTCGAACACCATGGTGCCCTTCGTACCTCTCCTTCAATCCTCTCAAGATACTTATGGTATCAGGCACACTAGGTTCTGCCACATAAACCTGCTGGAACCTTCTTTCAAATGCCGCATCTTTCTCTACATATTTCCTATATTCCTCGAGTGTCGTAGCCCCAATACATCGCAGTTGTCCTCGGGCAAGCATGGGTTTAAACAAATTGGCCGCATCCATGGATCCTTCGGTACGCCCAGCACCGAGAACAAGATGAATTTCATCAATAAATAGGATCACTTTGCCTTCAGCCTCCTCAACCTCTTTCAAGACTGCCTTCAGTCGCTCCTCAAATTCTCCTCTATATTTCGCCCCGGCTACCAAAGCACCCATATCCAACGCAATAAGCCTAACATCCGTAAGGTTGCTAGGCACGTCACCTTTCACTATTCTCTGAGCCAGACCTTCCACAACGGCAGTTTTGCCCACGCCTGGCTCTCCAATAAGAACTGGATTGTTCTTAGTCCTTCTTGATAGGATCCTTACAACCCTTCTTATCTCCTCATCCCGCCCAATAACCGGGTCAAGCTTACCAGCCTGCTCCACTAAATCCCTTCCATATGTCTTCAATGCTTGGAAGTTGGTGTCACCAGAAGCGCTCTCCACCTTCTTCCCTTCTTTCCCACGGAGCTTCTCGAGCTCCGATTTCACTCTTGCAGTAGCAACCCCTGCTTCCTTAAGCAGATCCCCAATTTGTGAATCCTCAAGAAGGCCAATTATCAATTGATCAACAGCCAAGTGGCTGTCCCCACGAGACTTTTGAGCAGCTTGGGCACGCCTAATTGCTTTTATTAGGCTAGTGCTTGCAGGGATCTCATCAGGAGGCGGGCTCTGACAAGGAAGCTTCTTCAAAGCTTGGTTAAACACTCTCTCCGCCGCTTTCGCCGCTTCTTCACCCCCAACATTGCTCATCGCTTGGCTGAAAATTCCAGCTGGATCTGAGATTAGAGCCACGGCAAGATGGAGAGGAGTAAATTGCGCATGACCGGCACTCATGGCCAGCTCATGGGCTGCAGCAAGACCCTCATTCGTCTTGTGGGTGAACTTGTCAGGATTCATAGTGCCTCCTTATTCCTGCACACACAGAGCAATTACAACCGTCAATCAATCTATCGCTACTCACGCAAGCAACATCCACATTGTGCAATCACCAGTGTCACACCGGTCTCCCTCTAATAAGACTCTAGCAAATGATCAAACCCAATTCCCAATCCAATCATCATCATCACCATCATAGACCACTGTTTCTAGAAACCTCTCTACAGGATTTGCTACCCAAAACACTGACACATGACACCACCGAACAGCGGCGATGACATGAGGATCACCGTCGCCATGAACAAAACCTAGACGCCCAACCAATCACATAAGTCCTAAACGAACGACTTCCGAAACTAAGCAGAGGTATCTGCATGGACGAGATGAAACCAAAAAAAACCCACAATTTCTGCCCGCGACAGACAACAAAATCCACGCTCAAACTCAGGACAACGTCGCCCCCGCTACAATAGCGAAAGGAACAGAGATGAGACGAAAACGCACCTCAAAAAACAGACAAGAAAACTGGATCAGTAACCGCTCTCGGACACGAGCGAAGCTCCAATGAATCGACCGTCCGCTTGCTCCGCTTCCGGATATTGATCTGCTCCTCCTCTCAAGCAGCAGCTGATGATTCTCGCACTCTCTCCCTCTCTCTGTTGAGTTGCTCTGTTGTTTCGCGAGATTGTCTAGCGTTGTGTGCGTTTGTTGGTGTGTGTGGGAGAGAGGAGAGGCTCTTGTAGCCCTTTTTGTAAGCGGGAAGAGAGACGAGGGACGAGAGGCGTCTAGAATCGACGGCCACGTGGCGCTGGAAACTACTAGATCCTGCTTCTGCCTTCGGCTTCCTTCCTTGAAAAACCGACACACCCCTCCTTACACGTCGGACAACTCGCGCGAGTCGCGCCGAGTCGCGACGGTCGCGAGTGGGCTTGGGGGGTGGCGAATTGTTGTCGTTTTTCCCGAATCGGGTCGTTTGGTGTAGGAAAGAGGATCCTGGCGTCGCCTCGAGCTTACGCCCTACTCGCCGCCTGCTGGAGCGTGAACTGCACATCCTCCTCCTCAACCGTAGGATCGGATCGGCTTGGAAAAAAGACAAAATCATTTTCTCCCCGCCCTTTTTTCGGCCAGAATCTTTTAAAATTCCACTTGTTTTTCATAGTTAATAAAAAGGAAAATGGCACAAATAATCCATAAACTTTAGATTAATGTAAAATATAATCTCCGAGTTTTTATTTGTTTAATATAATCATTGAAGTTTAGCATGATGTTCAATGTTATGTTGAACATTTTCATATAGTTCGGGGACAACATTAAATATGTACCAAAATTCTAGAAACTACATAAAATAAATTAAAATTTTAGGGACTACATTGAATATTAGACTGAAGTTTAAGAATTATATTTAATAAATTTAAAATTTTAGAGACCACATTATACATTTTGCCAAAGTTCAAAAATTATTAGTATCATTTTCTTTTGATAAAATTGCAACAAGCCTGATTCCCACATATGAGGCACATGGATTTATGGAAGGATTAATTAGATTTTTTGTAATACTCCCACGATTAGCTGATTTCCATATATGTAAAATAAGATTCTTATTATATCTACTGAATTCTCTTTCAAGCAAGGAATTTCTCTAAAGAAAAGGAATGAAATCTTTTTTATCATTTACTTCGAAAACTATTTAAAATCATGATGGCTATTTTTCGATTCTTCATCAAAGCAATGACGAGCAATGTCTAAATGGGAAAACCTTTGAGAAAAATATGTTCGCCAGTGAGTATTTTTCGTTTTGACTTGCGATTTTTATTTTGATTGCTTAAGATTTGACTTTTATTTAATATTGAGCTTGCAAAATCCGTAAAATTTCATAAATGTTAACACTAATGGTTAATTAAAATTGGATAGCACTATTTCCACTCCTTATATGACTAAATTCACCACATTTACACGAAAAAGAAAAAAATAACCATCGATCATTCAATTGCAAAGTGATGGCCCCATTCCTCCTTTTTTTTATTTTTTCTATTTCCATTTAGGATATAATTGCCATAATTAAGCACTTTGTATGATTTGTATTTTAGTGTATTAAAGATTTTTTTTAGTGTACTCCTAGATATTTGTATAACATTTTACATGCTCTGTGTAAAAGGGACAAATTCTTTGATATAATAAACAACTTCAAAGTTTCTTTTTCATCGTTGCTTTATAGTAACTTATCTATTCTTTGTCTCTCTTATCTTTTTTTTTTGTCGAATTGTCTCTCTTATCTCAAAAGATCACTTTCTGGGTGAATTTATTATTTTTAATTTCATTAGTCTATAATATATAAAAAGTCTCTTTATTAACTACATTAAAGAATTTATCTTTTTTTCCTTACTACTGGCGAGATATGTTTACACAAAGCATGTAAAACGTTATAGATATATCTAGGATAAACTAAAAATATTATACTCAATAAGACATCATTATATCTTTTCACAAACACTCCGTAGATGATATTAAGTTTTGTTCATCCAAAATAACGAGATTTTACTGACATTTTACAGAAATTTCTTATTTTATGCAATTTTTTATTTAATTAAATTTAATCTTTAAAGTTTCACGGTAGAGAATGTAATTGTTATTTTATTTTGGAAAATCTTCAAAGAATATCCTTCTTGCTTCGTCCGATCATCCCATTACACATATAACAAGACTGATAAGAAGGGATTTCAATGTGATACGCAGAACAAAAGTGAAAATTTATAAACAAATGATTGTGCTAAAAAATTGTCTATGCTAAATTATTTTATAGATTCTACTCAATAATTTATACATAAATTTCATTGTCGAAGTAGAAAAAAACTAGGTTTCTTGGAAATTTCTCTTTTCGACAAACTAATTTTATGAAAGATAATTCTATCGGTTCAAAAAATACAGAGCCTTCTAATATACATGGAATTTGGTTTTTTTTGGTGACTAAATCCTGTATAGAAACACAAAATCTATAAAGAGGAAAACCACTTTAAATTGTAATTAAATGATTGAGGGAAATTTTACATTTTTAGTAAAAATTGAGTGGATTTTATCATATAAAGGGTGTAAATAGCACAGCCCATTGAAATAATGTGCTGATTTTCTTTTTCTTTCTAAGAAAACATAAATCCAACTCTTTCTTGTTAAAACAAACAGCTATCCGTCCTTATACCGAGAGAATACCTGGCAAATGCTCTTATTTTATTTAACATAGTTTAATTGATTATTGGTTTTTGAGATGGGCCACCAAGAAGCACAGGCAGCCCGAATCCTACTACTGCTCCTGCCCTATTTGCCGGGCTTATCAGCAACGTCCAGTGCCTGCCTCCTCTTTTCTATTTTTATATTCCATCTTCCACTACGATTCTAACACGTGCAGGACAGAATATTATATTAGCAACTGCTAAAAATCAACAAGATCCATACTTATCTTATGATGGTGTCGGAGCAAATTGACTAAGATCAACTGCCTGAATTTAAGCCCTAAAACATTTTAGAATAGCATGTGCCAGTGCAGTACACCTCCACACATCATTGAAGAAGGGTCTACTAAATCTTAAAACTGCTCCTCAGGACACAACCAGAAAACACCAACACCTAAGGCAGTAATACTGTGGCGGTACCAATTTTTGTGCGCGACTTCGTTGTCAACCTATTCCTCTTCAGAATCATAAACGACTGCCATCCGGCGATGGAGGGCGGCCTTCCGTGGCAGAGACTCCTCGTCTGACTCAATCTCCTTGCGCTTATGACCAGAACCGTAATCTCTCCCTTTCCGCCTTGGCTCCTGAAAGGGGGGGGGGGGGGGTATTATAAGCACAAAATAAGATTAGAGTAGAGATACTTCATTATGGTAGTCAAACTAGCAAGGGGATGAAAAAAAGTGTCTCCAATTTCAACAGCATAATGAGCTATTTAATATCCGACAGCCACTGTACGTGGAGGAACATTTGAAAGAGGTTGCGTGTACTTGATAACCATGAGAAAAACCAGAAGTAAAGAAGACCTCATACCTCCACCTCTTCCCCCTCCTCAGATGCTCCATTAACTTCAGCTTCCTCTTCCTCAGGTTCGGCTTCTTCTTCCTCGTCCTCCTCATATTCTTGTTCAGGAACTTCAGCTCTTCTGCGAGGGGGAGACCTCTCGTCCTCCTCCCCATAACTTTCATATTCAGACTCTTCTCGTTCACTCTCTGAGAACGCCACTGGCCGCCTTGAAGATTTAACAGCAGGTGCGGAAGACTTGCGAGGGGCTTCTTTTTGTCCCTGGAAAATTTATTTCATTTGGATAATCATATAAGGATGCACAAGTAAATCTAGAAGCAGAAAAGCACAAAACCCCCATAAAAATGACAAACCTTCTTAGCGCTCATTATGCGTCGCTCTGCCTGAGCTTCCATTTCAAGGTCATCCTCGAAGCGACGGCGGGATCGACGAGAGTCGTAATAATCTGTTTCTTCTTCCTGATTTAGCGAGATATTTGAGTCTCCTAAATCAGATTCAAATAGATAAAAGCCTAATACATAGGTAACTAAGGCCCTAAACATTGTTGACCGGGACATCACTGTGCAGCAAGGGGAGATCATCTCTGAAACTGACCCAATTTAGGTCTGCATTTTCCAAACAAGACCTCTTTCTTTGTCAGCAGTACAATTTTAGACAGTCGGATTGGATTGAAAAGATACTGACGGTGATGAAACTGGCCCTTTACTATTTTCCACTTTTAAACTATTATGTGAATAAGATAATGGCATTTTAGACACCAATAAGTACTTTGTCCTTTGTCAATTACCAGTTTAACATCAACAAAGCAGCAAGGTGATACACCCCCGAGGGAGAAAAAACTAAAAGAAGTAGCAAGTACCAAAAGTACACACCTCATCAAGAGCATCCTCTAAGAAACCAGGCGAAAGCTGGCGCCTCCGGTCCACAGCAGGGGCATACTTCTTATTCACCTTTTCCTTCTTCCGGTTAAGAAGTAAATTAGCTCTAATACTTTGATTTGCAGCCTGCGATAGAGAGAAGTCAAATTAAAACTTTATCCCTCACAACAGAAAGCTATCAACAGTTCAACCAATTACCTTTTCTTTCTCCTCCTTTTCTCTCTCTGGATCAATGTCTGTTATGCAATTTTTAACCTTATAGACCTTCTTATGACGTGAGTCAACAAGAGCAGTCAATAATCGGTGAGAATTTGATGTTAATGAAGATGGCATGAATCTCATCTTTCTCAAAATTCTTCCTTGTGATTGAAGAAATCCCTGAGGCCATTGCACAAGAAATTGCACCAATTAGTCTTCAAGAAATTGACTCGCCAAAAATAAGAACATGAAACATATTGAAGACACATGATCAGGAATTTGATAGAAATGTAAACTTCCGCGAAAGGTCCCAAAGATTGACCATTAAACAATAAACCATCTCACAGTTCAACAAATAGCGATACATTGTCAAGCACGACATGGGCAATCAGGTTGAGAAATTAATGTTAAAGCTGAAAATCAGTGGCATGGTGTCTGATAAGAACTTGACTACCAATGACCCTGAGGTACCTGAGACACTATATTCCTTTACACTGTTCTCATTAAGTTACAGGTATACAATCAATATTCACATACTACTCCGGATAATCAAGCTTTATGACTGTCAAGAGCAGGAAAAATTTCCATACACGAGATCGTCAGATATAACTATTAGCATTTCTT